TTTATTCCTACATTATCTATCGAGGCTTTCAGCATTGATGCAGCAGATCATAAACGATAAAAAGTGGAAGACTTGAATCAGAAAAATGATCATAATTAATCCATATCAGAGATCCGTGGTAGCACCACCGTATCCATTTTCACAGCAGGGCAGCAACATAAATCCTGATCATTCTAACCATGATCAACCTTTCCGAAAGCATTTGTGAAGAGCCACGAAAATAAGACGGTCACTAAGATGCCACAAATTTAAAGCAGGTGCTGAGACAAAACACTGGCCAGTCCCATTCGAAATTTCAAACTCTATTCCCAAAACACCTCTCCAAAAACCCATAGCATTGCATCGGATCACAAACATCCAGCTTTACCAACCTGCAGATATCTACAAACAGATCACACCTTGACCACAACTGGCACGAAGCCGCCTCATCACCAAACCGGGAGCCGGTAAATCCAGAATCACCACCGCAATCAAAACTGCCGTGAAAGGCCCGGCCGGCCAATACCGTTCGGTAGCCGCACAGAGCCAATGTCGATGAGTCCTCGGTTTTTCAGTGCACCCGGCCGCACGGAAGGACGGGAGGGAGGGCGGGGGCAGCGGGGGCGGTGGGGGGGGGGGAGGGGAGGAGAGGAGAGGGACGTACTGTCCGTCCGCGCGACATACCGCCGATATCCGGTAGTTGCACGCACGGTCAGGCACCGCCCTGGTCTGGGTGAGTAGCGGAGCCTGTTCTACGCCACCGGACAGGCAGTGAGTGGGCGGTCAGGTTAGTGATAGAGCAGGGGATACATAGAAGATAAGAGGAAAGCAGGAGAGTAATAGAGGGGTTAGGGAGAGAAAGCCGTATTTTCAACAAGGTCGAACTATTAAATTCTTTAACTATTTTATTCTAAATTCATCCTATCAGCTTAGTAAAAAAGCCCATCCGTTGTGAGGCACCACCATTCCGAACACTATCATCGTCCGTGGAGAGGAAGCGACCAGTATAGCACGCTGGACATTTCAACAGCCCACGGATGTGACGCCGATATCACAGCGTCACAGGACAGCACATTCGTCACAATACCCCGCTGTGCAGTGACGCCGCGCCGTCACGCGGAACAGGACGTGCCGACGCCGAGATAGCTGGCGCCTCATCCGGCGCCGTGCGGACGGTAATTCGCTGCCATCGGCGTTGCACGCCGGCCGATCGGAGCTCTCTGGGAGATGGTTGGAGATGGGTGGCCCGTATAACAGCACGCGAGAAGAGATGGGAGGGGGAGGGGAGGGCAAGGGGCGCCGCAGACATGGTCCGTTCTCAGACCGGGATTTTAGCTCCGCGGGATAAGGCGGAATTGAAAAAAAATGCGGTTCCGGAGAAGTGTTTGCCTGGTGGAAACAGAGCTGTCGGTGGTGGTGGTGCGATTATGGATGCTATTTTCGTCTTGATGGTCACCGGCGAATATGTGAAACATTCGAGCAACTTTCGGCAAATAAAAAGCTGTGGACATAAAATATTATTCTAGACAAATTTGCGATACCCAATTCGGTAAACATTACTTGATTTTCAAACACGTCAGACCTCAAAATCAGCCGAAACACACAGACACGCCCGTCCTTATCAACTCCTCCCTGGTTAAAATCAAACCGTTAACTTCATCATTTCAGCTACCAGAGCTCAGGGACCGCTCGCGTTTCGCCAGGTGCCGACCAATTGTCAGCCACCGCGCATCCATCTGAGCTCGAAAAGTGCACGCTCGATCATCACCCGTGAACACTGCGATCCCAGCTGCGCAATCTGCACATCCGTATCCAGGCCATGGTCAGATAGCAGCTCGAGGCCGCGTTGCATAATAAAGCATTAGGTCCTTTTTCACAACCCGGGAGCCCACATTTCCGCCACACGCACACGCGTGTCAGCAAGCGTAGGCGTAAGACACCTAAACGCAAAGCGGATTCGTTCCGATTGAGCAGATAATCTGAAGATTGGCTGTTGAAAAACAGGATTCTAGCGCCTGGACTGTATGTATTTCGGCACGTTCAGATCCGGCCAGTATCTAACAAGCAAGACATTCAATCTGACAGGATATCCTTCAAGCGGAATCGCACTTGCCACGTCCGGCGCCCGATCGTCAGCCCTCAGCGCAGGATACGACATCGACGCTCCACGGCCTGAACAGGCGAACAGTGCCGGGCTTGTAGAATCACTTCTAATGAACCAAATCAGCCGAATTTGAATTTGCAAAACTAGCATCAGTACAGGGTATACTACTGGCACAGCAACCACTTCATTCCTGCCCCGACCGGAGAAATCCATGCACGTTCGTTCTCGCGTGGTCCAGTGAGGACAAATCTACCTCTACCAACTTTCCCATGACTGCGGCGACCCGTGCTGCTCGCGTGCCGCCGCCGTGGACAGCGGTCACACTCAGTCTCTGACCCGGGCGGTCGCAGGGATCTACGTCCACCGGGCAGCGCACGGTGAACCACCACGGGCCACGGAAGAGGCGGCATGGCCCACCCTGGACCGTCGCCGCCTCCTCGAGCACGAGGGAAAACACACACCGCCGAGCGGCCGCCGCGCCCGGGCACCGCCGCTTACAGGAATCCCAGCGACAGGAACACTTCCCACCGACAACGGACAGGCGCAGGACTTTCCTGGAAGGTAACAAAAATGGCCTGTCGCCACTCACGGGATGGGGTGTCCCGCACCGCGCCGACGAGCGTACTACCCAGCGCCGCTCCAATCGGAGGCAGTGGGGCATCGAGCCCCATCGCGCCGCGTGCCAGGCACGTGGACGGCCAACGAAATCCCAGCGAGCTGCGGGCGTGACTTTCACATTGATATGGACTATAGGATGATCGGTATGAATGCAAGAAATACCGAATGAATTGGCGATATTCAGCTCTTATGATAGGATTGCTCCAATGCTTTTCAAACGCAATATGCTAGTTGCCTCAGTCCAAAGCTAGCAATGCATGTGTGCAATGTGCCACGGGCCCCATAGGCACACATCATTGTATGTTGTTTGTTCGAAAATACAGCACCAGCACCAGGGCGAACCGGTAAATCGGTCACTTTTTACGACAACCCACTGACATGCAAATAGACACTGGTACTCATACCAGCAGAGAATCTCACTAAACCAACAGTATTCCCGTTTCGAGTTCAGACAAAGCCACCTAAGGCAACCGACCTTCATCAAATAGAAATGGGCGCCAACTGTCATGAGCACAACGGACCCAGCACGCTGTATACAGTCGTCAACCAAACAGTTCCAGGAACAGACACCAGGCGGCAGCACCTGCTGATTGCCGAGCGGAGCGCAGGACGGCTGAGCCAGGGTATATTGAGGGCTGAGCTGCTAATGAAAGTGAATCACATTGATGACAGTCGGTTCCCGGAGCGTGGAATGGGATGCGCTACGGTACGCGGTAGGCTTTGTTTTGTTTTGACGAGGACGGGAGAAGAGGGCGTCAAGTCACGCTTCATTACATTCCAAACACACGCCGCCTGATGAGAGTGCTATCAGGAAGTCGTATCATTCACGTTTCCATTTCTTGGTACCACGTGCCCGGGTAGAAACATCACACCTTCAAAAACATTACTTACAATATATTGTAATTAATCAATCGATGAGCTAGTATCAAGAGATAGGTCCTAGCAATATCTACAGCTATAGCTGGTTGCTGGATGCTATTTGCCGGTTTCGCAATATTGCCGGTTTCGTTTGCAGCCACAAACAAACAGCACACTCCCATGTTGGGCGCAGTCGCAGACAAGATCAGATAAGAACGGACCGAGTCAGGCCAGCCAGCCAGCACTGAGCCCTCGCCGACGATAAGCTCCACGCCACCAGGTAAGGTAGTCCGCCACGTGTACGACCGAGCTTTGCCGACACCGCTCTACGGGAACACAGTCTACGGGAGCTCGCGGACGGTGCATGCAGACAGCATGCCACGGTTGCGAGCAGCGTCTACCGAGCCTGCTAACACTAGACGCAAGGTTCATGATTTTGATTTTTGATGGTGGATGGTTGAGATTAGGCCAGCCAATGCCGCATTGTAGAGCTGGGGTCCGTCTCATTTAATGATGTTCCGTCTTCCGTGGCTCAGTTAGTAGAACGAACTCCGAGTAGCGAGGACCCGGGTTAGAGAATCCCCGGCGATTAATATACGACAATGAGACGGGAATGGTCTGTGGTTGGTGGCATCAGTCGCAGCCAGTTGAATTCAGTAAATTGGGACCGACTCGTCTGACAGCGGGAGGCGAGCAAGCCTAACTCTGACATACCAAAATCTCCTGAAAACTTCCCCGAGCAGAGTCGGAATCAGCCGCCGTACGACAGAGGACCGGACCCGTGAAACAAACTCTTAGCATTAACCATGACTGAGGAATTCTGTCCACTCAATGGGTGTCATAAACTTCACTGCTGCAGTGTAGAGTTCAGTGGCCCTTTGGGCGGATCAGGCATGGCGCGGTGCAGATTTTGAATGGGGCAGTGAGTCCAGCTGTGATGATGTGCTGAATTCCTCAACTCTCTTGCTATGCTTCCCTTTGAGGTTTGGGATGGAGGGAGAGGGCACCCCTGGGCTACCAAAGCATTTAGCAACCTCTAAGAACTACAGGAATTCACAAAATCAAATCATGCAAGGAAACAGCACATCCTTCTAAGCTTGAAAAGCGAGACCACTCATCAATGCTTATGGTACTTTTGACACATAACATTTCTAAGTTACACTTGACTACCTGCTGAGTCAGGTAAGGTTAGCTTAGGTTTTGGAATTTATGCTTACAGCATAGGTACCTTTTTTTGGGGGGGGCAAGTGATCATGTGAACAACTTTCCAGGTCAATATATGAATTGTGAAAATATGGTGTGGTTCATATTCATTTTGAGCCCAGGATGAAAAAGGTAATTTTTACCTAGGTAGGTAGATAGGAAGGTACCTCATCAAGAGGCCTTAAAGTTAACATGCAAAACAGGCAAACTAAAACTGAACAAGTTGGCAGGTACTTACACACATCACTGATGTTGAGTCCAACTCCTCGCTGCTGTTGACCTGACGCCTCTGATGCTATCACAGCGGCTTCCATGGTGGTATGATTTGCAGAGTTTCACCTTGACCTAAACACAAAAATCAAAATCCCATGAAAAACAAAGGTAATAAATTTATCCTCAGCTATGTAGCAAAAAAGAGTATTAGTATATATTAGGTCCGAGTGGCGAACGGATTATGAAAAGCACATTATATGATGTATTTTGACCTCCTGATTTCATAGGCCTTGAGGCCTTGAGTGCGATCGCACTGAGCAAACCCAACCTGAGCCCCTTCCGTGATTCGGCAAAGTAAAGTATATTTAATCATATGCACTACCTAATCAAAACACAATGCACAGTTACGAATAACCAACGAATAACAACCTAATTCATCACCAATGGTCGTAAACGGTAAGGTAAGGTATTTTTGCTTACGGGCCACCACAGGAGGTCGTAAACTATCTACCCCTATAAAAATGAATTATACACTAATAACAAGGCCGTATAAGAGACTAATAAAATCAAAATACTACGCAGAGTCATCACAATAAAACACAGTTCACACCACACGCAGTTTTACAACAAGCATCTATATCGCCAAAAATGATTGCCACCCATTTCGCTCATTTCTATGCACTTATTGAAGAGTCGAATAGAAATCGAAAACATATTTTCTTGAAAGACATATTATTATTCACCCAAAATACTCTTTAAAATCATTTGTTTTGAAAAACAGGACAGTCGGTGACACACCAGGGAAATAAGCTAAAATTAGAGCGCTCTATTTATTGCTCCCGCTTCTTCACCGTCTCCCATAGGGTCCTGTGTTGAGCTGGTGTCGAGGCTCTAAAAATGACGCCGATTTTTGCACCCTTCTCACGAAAACCGCTCGGACCGCCTGGAAACCAATTGTTCCGCTCTAAAAATTTCATGATCGACGGGAAAATGAATGAGGAAAAGATTGGTCCTGAAATAATTCTGAACTCCCTGTAGAACATATCGAAATATGTCTGCAAACTAGGAGCATGTCAAAATCGACAAAACAATACAAATAAACTTACCGGGATTTTTTTATTTTCCATGCATCTGTGTATGAAATCAGTCGGTTTTTTGGAAAGATCATCCTCTGTTTAATAAATAATTCCACAATTGCAATCGAGAAAAAAAAAACATTTCCGCTGTGACAGCAGTTTTGGCATTGTGCCAGTAGTGTGGCGTGCGCGGTGCTGCGTGATCGTCGGGACGGAGTTGTGAGTATTTTCGGTGTTTTAAATGGTTGATGGCCATTTGAACCAGCTTCATATTATTTCCTACAAATTTTTGCATCAAATTATTGCTTTGAAAGACCATTGAAACCCCTTATCTCTTCATGAAACACGATCATATTCATCGTCGACGAAAATGGCGCGGGACTCCATGTGCATTCCGATCGAAATAAATCGTAAATTAAATAATATTCGATGATAAGTATCATATTCTAGTGACACATTTTCATAAAATAGGGCATAAACTTTGCAAGGAAGTCAACATCGGATAATTGGATTCTTATTTTGCTCACATATCCCTTGTAGTAGTCAAATGGCTCAATTGTTAGATAGATGTAAGTATATGTTTTGGCTTGATGTTTGCTGTGAAACCACCCAGCCACTTGCTGGTTGAGTGGTTTTCTGATAATTACCTGATAATCATTTCTCCTTTTCCTTAAAAGAAACTAAAATTCCTTTCAAAGTAATCCATTTTAAGGAAAGGCGGCTTGCTCATTGGCATTTCATGTTCTTGTTTTGTTATTGCTGGCAGTATTTTGATACAATAATGCAATATGAATTTTTTGCAATAATAAAACCTAAGACAAACTTAGTTAATGCGTCAATCAAACACCGAACAGAAAGATTGTGAGTCCTTGTGACGTGAAGCAGAATATTCTATGAATGTGTTTTATAGAATATGCCAAATATTAAATTAATTATTATTTGATACTGATAGCTGAGCATGTGAATTATGCCACAATATAATTTCATTTTCTGGTTTTGAAATAGCTGGCAGTATTTTACTTCAACAAATGTAATATACATGGAATACATGTTGTTATGTTACCTATTAATAACAGCCAACAGAAGGAGCTGTTTCAGCAGATAATGTTTATACCTTATGCATTACCTTTCTTTTCTGCAGGACCATGCTTCCGCTGGGTGGTCGACATTTGCCTCCTGAAGAAGTTGAGCAACATGAAGACCACCAGATGAGGTGTCTGCAGTTCATGTGGAACTCTGCAGACTACAAGTGTTATGCCAACCACAACCAAAGTGCTGTGATCATGGAGGCATGAACTTCATGACAACACTTCAGATTTGCAGTTGAACCAAAGTGTGATTCAAACCACCTGTGGCATCTCACTCAATGTGTGAACAGTGTGATTATTGTGCAGTGTTCAGCTGCAACTAAGACATTTATTAGTGACTTGTTTTGCAATTAGCCACCAAAAGCATTTTTTGAGCTGGCTGCTGTAGCGCAATAGTGGTAGTGTTTTGTCACTTGTCAAGTTGTCAGTTGTGCATGTTGCATGTTTCTCTTCCCTCGGCCCTCATTATCAGTTAAGTGGTGAATTGGCATCACTCAGTCTCCCCAGATCTCCATTGACTGTCTGTCAACCACCTAACTTGAGATGGTATTTGCTAATAGTGTCAGAAAAGAAGCGATTGTAGACATTTTTAGGAATATGAGCTCCGTTTCATGCGTGTTCCAGGGTTCATTTTGTCACATGTCCCATAGTGTAATAAATGGAATTGGAAACTGTTGTTCCCTTTTGAAGGTACTCGCGGATGCAGAAAGCGTTGGGCCTAATTATTAAACGCACCCTCCTATCAGCGACGCACGAAATCGACAAATATCATCCTTTTTAGAACAGGAGGAAACGAAAACTTGTGAACATAGCTGTACCTACAACAGTGCATAAGGAATTGAAATTCTGGGAGTTTTTGAAATTCGGAGAAACTCAAGTTGTCGACAGGTATGCCCCCTTGCACGTCAAAGACCGCCTAAAAAACAAACGTCTACAAATGAAGGCAGTATTCGTATGTTCGTTGTAATTGCAGCAGCCTAGCAACATGTATTGCGGTCCGATGGCGAATTACACTCGTGCTAAAAAAAACTATGCAGGTAACTGCCAATGCACTTAGGTCATAGGTGAGGAGAGGAAGGGTTATGTCATACCTATGTCAACATCATAGAAATGGCTTCATCTGAGCTGTGCCTATTGTACATAATTCAACCAATCTATGCATTTCGTTTCTTGCAATCTACTCATGCTTTCACTCCAGCTTCAGAGTAATCATCCCATATTGATTTCTATGGCGGTTTGCAATTACTAGCCACGTCTCACCTCAGTTTGGTGGCCCCGCATCGGCCCACTCGGCCGCTCTAAAATTGACTTACGGAGGAGGATGGTGGCTTTTATTTTAGCTTCTCCGCCGACTGCGGGGAGCGCCGTCGCCGAGGTAGGAGCAATAATTAGCTTATGTTAGGGACTAATTTCCACGCTTAATTAACATTTTAATGTTATTTTAATTAATTCATGTTAATCTTTGACGCATTCTCTTTCTATTGATACCATCCACCGGTCTGAGAATTACTGCCTCGCTGCGTAAGGGCCGATAAAAGATCACGCTTTTAGGGGTATCTCTTCAACATGGGGCAGGAGCAATAAATAGAGCGCTCTACTTTTAGCTTATTTCCCTGGTATGTCACCAACTGAGGAGGGTGAGTTTTTTTGTGATGATGTCATTTCTGCTTTTTCATGGCTTTTTCACATTGAAAATGGAATGGAAAATTGCTGTGTGAATTGACCTTTTATTGTCATATTTGTTTAAGTCAGTGCAAAAACAATGAAAATAAATAATCTTGCCTTAGACATATGTTTTTGCTCTTGTTTTCTCAGAAATTGTTTTCCGTAAAATTTAACACCTATGCTGACAAATGTAAACCTGTCAATCAATGAAAATCGACCTAATATCACTGTTGATTGATGCAGCATTCATGCCAGCGCAAGGTCACTTTGTAATAATAAGCTGCATTTCACATAAAGTAAAGTGTTTTATTTTTGAAAAAAAAAACACTAAGGAGCATATTTGATTCAGTTTTCGTAAATTTCAGCATAATCTCCGCTGAAAACAACTAGTCAAACATTACAAAGTTGTAAAAGGTTTTTGCTGTAAATTAGCTGTTTTTTGTAAGTTAGGCATTCCCAACGCTTATGTTTGAAATACGGCGCAAACAGTGCTAGGGGCCTGTTCCAGCGCCTCCAGAAACCTCCAGAAACCTCCAGAAAGCTCTAGAATCCTCCAGAGAGCGTTCCAGCGCCTCCAGAAAGCTCCAGAAAGCTCTCGCCAAAGCTCCAGAAACCTCCAGTAGCCTCCAGAGAGTTGAGAGGTCCAAATTTCTCTGGAGGCTCTGGTCTAGAACCATGGCGCACATGTGACAATCATGAATGTAAACAAAGAACTTTTGACTGAGAATTTTACAACTTGAATGTAAAGAAAATTACATTGCTATAATTTTGTTAATGTTTCTAAATAAAATTGAAAACAAATTTTGCGTTTCAAGAGAGAACAATTGCCATTCTTTTGGTATCTGTGATGCCAATCTCCAGAAATCTCCAGATTGCGTTCCAGCGCCTCCAGTAAAACCTCTGGTAGAGCCTCCAGTCAAGAATTTCTACTGGAGGCGCTGGAACAGGCCTATAGTGTCTTGGGCCCACCAGGGGGGCGACACGGCTATTCGCGCAATGTATTAATTTATGGGCCGCGCGGGGCCTCGCGATGACGCGGCTGCCGAGGCAACTGCTCAGCGCGCTAGGATACTTCTGGCGGGGCGGGGCGCTGAACGGTGTGCAATGAATGGGTTATGGTCGGGCCGACAGAGATGAGGTATTGAATTTGAATTGACATCAGCAATCGGGTGGGGAAGGAGAACGTTCCTAATCGAGCTTGGGTTGGGGAAAGCCGAAAATATCGCGATCGGCTCATAGCTCAGACAGGGCCGGGTGCCGTACCATGTGCTGTATACATATTTAGGCGGGCAGACAGAGATGAGTTATTGGATTTAAATTCACCTTACCATCGGTTTCTGGTGGGGTTTGAAAATGGTTTTAGTCAAGCTCGGAGTGGGGCAACCCACTGGCGGATCCAGGGGAAGGCATTTGGGGCAAACGTCTTCCCCCACATTGGCAGCGCCCGAAATCGCTTTTCGAGAATCAAAGAAAACTTCACAACTTTTCTGAGGAAATGTTGGTTAATCACACTGCACAGCAGTGCGCAAGGAATCGAAATCAGAGTTTTTTTTTTAATTAATTCCGAGAAACCTTTTTGGGGTAAGCCCCCGCAGTGTCCAAGACCGCTTCCTGGATCCGCCAGTTGTGAATAAGTCACGGTCGATACCGAGCTTCGGCGGGACCAGGCGCTGTATACGTTGTTCTTTCAATGAAGAGGTGGACAGAACAGACACCTAGCCCCACATCCTACTGCTATGCCCGTGCTTCTGTGGGTGAAGCACTAAAGCATCACGGAATCCCACAGGACCTGCG